GAGAGCGTTTTAACGTCACCCTGGCATTAATGATATTATGATAACGTCATTCAAATCCTGCCATTTCATATGTCATGCAGCAATCAACTCCAAGAAATGAGTAGCGGACGAGTCGTACATATCTGGCGTTCGTGAGCACGATTTCCAGATATAACGGTCGTCAATTGGCCCTCAATCAGTGTTGTGCAAGGCACAATGAAGTTATCAAACAATAATGTATTGAACAACATAGTTACTAAATAAAGAAATGGCGGTGTCTAGAGCAGTCTTTTCCACTTGAAAGCATACCAACAGTACTAAATGAGCGTGTTTCGTCATGTTTGGTGGTTGCTTCAATATCTTCTAATGTGAAACGTTCGCTTAAAGGCCAGTGGCCTTACATGACCTTCTGAAGGTCATGGTGGTATTCTTTTAAACATTTTGAAGACCATGGTGACCAAATTTCTACGAGAATGCCTTGCTTTTTGCATTTCAGTCAGCGCCAAGGATTACGCTACGCGGTATCTTCCTATAATCAAAATGTTGAACTGGCTCATCTTAGGTCAGTGACCCGTTCCGACCTTAATGAAGTCAATGGGAAGTTCTGTTGCGATCCCTGATGCAGATAACTTCGAAACAAGCACCAGAGACTACCCCATATACCAAAATCTCGGGTGAAAGGTAGCTGCTTCCTTTTCCAAGATACCTCTCATTTTTATATCAAAAGCATGCCATTCAATTGCCTACAGTTATGCAAAGTTTATCCGGACGGTGTGGCTGTACCGCACCGTCCGGAAATAGTTCTGGAAAAAACCTTAGGGAGCAAGCTGACCCCCGAGCGTGTGTTAATGAAAGGGTAAATGGGATGTTCTACATTTGAAGACATTGAATCAACATCAGATATGATGAAAACAGTTCACCTTTTACTGTTGATACATTTCTAAGTGGAAAAGACTTCTTCAGGCAACCTAACCCTCTATTTAGTAACCATCTTCCTCAATATGTCACTCTTTTATTGCGCCATCGTACTTTGCACAGGATTGACTAAGAGCCACTTGGGGACGTCCTGTTTGGAAGTCGTGCTCACGAACGCCATATATGAGCGACTTGATTATATATTGCTTGGTCTTGATCGGCGCTGGACAATGTAATGACAGGATTTGAAAGATGTTATTTTGACTTGATGTATTCCAAGGTGACGTTCAAACACTTTCGCATAATTACTCTCTCACATCTTTGCGGCCTTTAACACGCTTTCGGTTGGGGGTCAAATTGACCCACCAAAGGTTTTTCCAGAATGGTTTTCAAACAGCGCGGCGTAGCCGCGCCAAATTTTGCATGGCTGTAGACAGTTGGAAAGCGGGTCATTTGGTTTCCGATCTAGATGCATCTTGCAAGGTCGCTGACCTATGGCAGGACAAAGTCAGACCATGGTTTCAGGGAAGTCAATTTCTTGGGAATCGTTCAATCTGATGCAACAACGGAGTGTTGGACGAAGCCATACATCTCTGATATGCTTTTTTGGGCAACACAACAATTAAATGAGCCAATTAAATTGACCTAAGGTTAGGTATGAAGGTCACACAAAGGTCAAAATCAACCTGTTTTATTACTCTAGGGTTTGCTGTATGGAATAGCCTCTGGTGCTCATTTCGAATTAATGACAGCAGGAACCGCATTCCACATCTCCCATGGACTTTTTAGAGGTCGGAATAGGTCAATGACCTTAAATGACCCGGGTCAACATTTCGTTTTTAGGAACCTGCTGCCTATTGTAATCTTGGTCGCTTATTTAAACGAAAAACTCAGAGCAGTCTTGCAATGATTTTGGTCACCATAACCTTCAAAAGATCAAAAAAGGTCACCGACCTTAAATGAGAATGTGATTTTTTGCTTAAAAACAGTTATCTAGGCTCGGGGGCACTTTGGAAACCAACGTGCAATTTGGCCTTATTTGACCTTATTTCACCCGCAGGTCTGGTACCTCAAACTTTGATCTAAGTGAGTTCACGTACAGGTCAACATGCCTTTCGAATTTCGTGTCTTTAGCTTTCTTATTGCTTAAGATCTCAGGGGACAAATTGATCCACCCACCCCAACCGAGCGAAGGGTATCCAGCCGGCCTCCGGGCACGTGTTAAGCTCCGTAACCAGAGGGTTTTAGGCATTAAAAAGAGCACGACCGTGAGCTGCATCGAAAGGCCTTCAAGATGTTTATTTTAGCTCAAAATTCCGCACAAATTTGGAGCACCTTTCAAGATACCCGTAATCGATTCGATTTCATTCTGTAAAGTTTGGCACTCAGGGAGGTACAAAAGAGGGTGCAAAGGGTGCTCGGTTTGTTTTGGCTGCGTTAACACGCGCCCGAGTGGCCGGTTGGATATTCTTCGCTCGGGTGAGTGGGGAGCAATTTCATCACCCCCACCCACCCCCACCCCCCAAGATCTAAGAGCTTGTGTCGAAATTTGAGGTTCCTAGGTCATGACCTTCGGGTCAAATAAGGTCAACCAAGTTCAAACTCAAGAGTGGCGCCTTAAGTGCACCTAGACCATTTCATGCAACCTCCGTGAGCCTAGATACCTGTTCTATGCTGAAGGTCACTGGTACTCATTTAAGATCATTAACATTGTTTGATTTCGAAGGTCATGCTGACCAAAATAATGCGAGACTGCTTTGATTTTTTAGCCGAATAAGCGTCAATCGTTACGCTAGGTGGTGTGTCCTTAGAACAAAATGTTACTTGGGACATTCTAGGTGAGTGACCTATTCTGACGTTTGAGAAGTCCGTGGAAGATGTATGATGACCTACCTGTCATGAATAAATTGAAAATGAGCACCAGAATCTACCTCATGCAGCAAACTCTAAAATAATAAAACAGGTATGCTCAGACCTTTGTGACCTTAACTGACCATAGGTCGATGGAATTTGCTCATTCAGTTGTTGTGCCGCCGAAGAAACTATCTCAGAGATGAAGGGCTTCATCTAACACTCCGTTGCTGCATCGGATTGAACGACTTCCTAGAACTTGCCCTCGCTAAATCCATGGCCTGAAGCGACCTGCCGTAGGTCAACGACCTTACCTTACAAATGATATCCAATCTTTGATGACAAGGGATCCGCTACTCAATTGTCCACATCTATGCAAAATTTCGCCGTTCCAAAACTGCGCCGGAAAAACCTTTGGCGGAGATCAAAGCGACCCCAGCCCGAGCAAGCATTAAGAGTCGCACCAAAACGGAAATGGATCCCGGCCATTCCAGGCGTGGTTATGCAGGTGAAAGGTAGGCAAGATTTCGGGAAGAAATGGCAACATGTGTGAGCCGATTATGTAACAGGCGTTTAACACTGCAGTACAACAAAAAATGCTGAATGGCGCATCGCTCCATGGTTCGGTTCGCCAAAATGAGCGCTGAAAGACGAGTTGAGCTCCTACATGAAAACAGCGATAGAGTCGGGTTGGACCGACGCCTATTCGGTCGTGACAAATTTGTGCAAACACATCAGGTAATAGTTCCAATGGAAATGAACGTTTAATGCCGTCTTGGATAAAATGCCGTGCACCTTTGCCTGGTCGCAAAGTTTAACAGGCTTGCAATGCCTCTGGATCTGTGCGCCAGTTTTTCACAAAATGCTCCATTTCTTACGAAAATCAAGATCATTGGGCCGCTGAAAATAAAGTTCCTAGGACCAAGGTGTCCTAAAGTTAGGAAAAAAGAGGGCGGACCCTTTTGTGGTGAACTGGACCCCTATGGCCTGAGCACCTGGATCCTGGACACCGCCACCCCTTCCCCATCTACTTCCCAAGAGCGATTCCCACTCCCGATTGCTGTTTCAATGAGTGCCGGCGTCGTCACACGATGTTCAGTGGTGCCCCTTGCGGCCACCACGAGAACCACAAGCGAGTGACCGACCCGCAAGAGGCCGTCCTAAACAAGGCTACTAAATTAAGCTTCTGGAGTGTTGGTGCAGTCAAGTCATATTCTGCCGGAAGGGTCTAAACAACTGGCATATGACGCAGACACGCAAGTTTTCGGAAACGGTGTGTCCGATCGCCTTGAAACCCTCCTCAATCAACTTTACGCGATGAGGGAGTCATGAGGAGGCAATATTGAGACCTGACCTGGGGTCAAACACCTCGAAAACACGAAGAGAAAACTTTACATGCAAATGCAGACAGCTCAGATCTCGGAGCCTACTGGACCGATCACTGTTAAACCTTCACCGTTGGACGCCCACACCTGATAACCTCCTACATGTCCAAGTTTGGTGACCCTAGGTCAGGTCAAAAGTCGTCAAATTTCACAGAGTCCAAAATTATTGCTTGCAGACAACTTATAGCTAAACCCTACTGGACCGATCACTGCCAAACCGTCATCAGTAGATGCCCATACCTGATAACCTATTGCAGGTTCAAATTTGGTGACCCTAAGTGGTCAAATTTCAAAAGGTTCAAAATAACTGCCCGCAGACAAGTTAGTTCAGAACCTACTGGACCGATCACTGACCTGACCAAGGGTCACCAAATTTGGAGCTGCAATGGGGAATCAGGCATGGGGCATCTAATGGGTGAAGGTATCACGGTGATCGGCCCGGTAAGCTCTGAGATCTGAGTTGTCTGCTTTGCATGTAAGATTTTTCCTTCGCGTTTTCGAGGTGTTTGAACGCAGGTCAGGTCTCGATAATGTCTTCCCATGACTCATCTCATTGCACGGGATCGATTGGTGAAGGTTCCAAAGCGATCGGACGAGCCGTTTCAGAAAACGGCTCGTCGTTCGGGGCATTGACATGGGTGGTACAGGTTCTCGACCCTATCAATGTATTGATAAAAGGCAATAATTAATAAAAATGGAGATGATTTAATTGACCATGTTGCCATTGATACCACTGTCGTATGGTGGAGGACAGACTGCAAATAGGATATGCTTGTGTGAACTTCGTGCAGACGCACACGGGCTATATAAATATATAGGGATAATGGCGTGGAAAAGACAATTGGGACAGGCAGCTGGGGGCTGAACAAGGCTATCTAACTGGGGCTGAAGTCCTGACCGTTACTGAAAGTCCCGTCGGCGTGCGGATTCGCGTGCTGTGCTGAGTTCGTGTGTGGATTGAATGGTCAATAATGTGCGATTGAGACCCTCTACATTGTGTTTTGGAGCGTTCTTGAAGCCATCTTTGAAGCTACTTAGCATTAAAAAGCCAGCTGAGGAGGAGGAAGAAGGGCTTAGGACATACACCATCAGCGAAAGGTGCATATCTGACTTGTGAGAGGTGTATCCTAATTGTAGATCTCACGATTCGTGCATTTAACTCCAAGTATTTGGAGCAGGCAGCGCACTTGATCAAGCACAGCATTGGGTGCTAGGTACTATGTTTAAAGCTTGCAGGCTGGTCATGGCAGCAAGTATTGCTGCTCAGCCATGTGCCTCAGTTAGGGGTGCTTGCAGAAATTGCAACTTGAGCCCAGGTGTCACAAAAATTATTGAAATGTACAGGGCAGAAGAGCTGCATACACTGATCACCTGTAGAAGGTTATGAAAAGACAGGAATGGGGTTGTAATATTTGTGATAGAATACTTGTGATAGATGTTAATGTCTGGTCCTGGAACTTTGCTATCACATACAGATTATATTGACTATCCATACAGGTAAATGGGCTTTTTTTTACTTGGGTACCTGTATTGCCGACGGTGGGGAGAGCTACGCTGGCTGCAGGGTTCCTGTACTGCCATGATGGAGAAATGCTGTTAGGCATCAGCCGACGTAGTGACGTCACTGAAAATGGGTTTGCATCGATCTGGGTTCTTTTGGGCCGACTGAAGGCTACAAGGCTTTTGCTAGCGATATGATGTCACTGGTATTCGACTGGATATGTGACGTCACTGTTGTGAGGCTTTAGGGCTCTTTTGGGTGCAATGAATGCCGTAAAGCATCACCTGACGATATGTCGCCGCTGGTATTCAATGAAACATCAGGCGCAACGGGCCTCATTCCATCTTTACCTTTCGTACCTGTCTGCTGCAAGCATTTGCGTGCCGAATAAAAGCTTGACCGAATCACCTGAATGTGTGACGTCACCAATCACCACTTGATACGAGTGCACTTAGGCCCCACGGCCGCGGTGTATCATGTTCCGTGAAATATCACTGGGTATCGTGACGTCAGTGATATTCGACTAAATATTGGTCGCAACAGGTCAAGGTTCATTTTTAGCTTCGTACCTGTCTACTGCAAGCACTGGCGTGATGAATAAAAGCTACCAAATCACGTGAGTGTGTGACGTCACTGGTCATGCATTTTTATGGATCTTTGGGGGCCAACTGAGGGCCGTAAAGCATAGCCTAATGGTGTGACGTCACTGGCATTCGACTGCGTGTGATGTCACTTGTGATCAGATTTTACGGCCTCTTTTGGGCCGACGAAAGGTCATACTACATTAACTGAAGATGTGCCGTCACTGGTATCCGAATACAATTCAGGCGGCCATGGCCATGCTCCATCTTTACCTTTGGTACCTGTCCATTGCAAGTATTTGAATGCTGAAGGAAGGGTCTGCCGAATTACCTGAGTGTGTAACGTCACTAACCATCAATTTGTATAGACTGTTTTGAACCCACTGTAAGCCATACCACATCAGCTGACCATATGACGTCACCGGTTTTCGTCTAGGTGTCATGCGCAACAGGCCATGCTCTATCTTTGCCTTTCGTACCTGTTTACTGCAAGCATTCGCGTGCTATATCAAGGTGATGCTGAACCATCTGAGTGCGTGACGTCACTGGTCATGAGTTTATACAGGTTCACTTGGGCAGCCCAATGCAACAAAGCATCATATCCTGTAAAGCATCGCGGGATGATATGACGTCACTGGTATTCGACTCAACATCAGGCGCAACAGGCCATGTTCCATCTTTACCTTTCGTACCTGTCTACTGCAAGCATTCGCGTGTTATATCACGTCATTGGTTAAGAGTTCTTACGGGCTCTTTTCAACCCCCTATATGGTATAATGCTTCAGTTGACGATATGATGTCACTGGTGTTCGACTTAGCATCAGGCACAACATGTCATGTTCCATCTTTGCCTTTCGCACCTGTTAAAGTATTGGCGAGCCTAATGATGGCTCTGCCGAATCACCTGAGTGCGTCATCATGAGTTTTTACAGGCTATTGTTGGCCGGGAAAGCCATTAGGCATCATCTAACGATATGTCGTCACTGGTAATCCACTAAGTGTGTGACGCCATTGGTCATGAGTTTTCCCGCGCCTTTTTGGGCCGACTTAAGGCCATTAGGCATCAGGTAACGATATGACGTCACTGGTATTCAATTAAGCATCAGATACAATATGTCATGTTTCATCTTTACCTTCCGCACCTATCTACTGCAAGTATTCGCGCGCCACATAAAGGCTCTGCCCAATCACCTGAGCGTGTGGTGTGACTGGTTATGAGTTTACGCGGGTTTACTCGGGCTGACTGAAGGACATCAAGCATCATCTGGCGATGCGACGTCACTGGTATTCAACTTAACACCAGGCGCGACAGGCCATGTTCGTCTTTACCTTTCGTACCTGTCTATTGTAAGCATTGACATGCTTAAGGAAAGCTCTGTGAAATCTCCTGAGTGTGTAATGTCACTGGTCATGAGTTCTTTACGGGCTGCTTTTTTGTAGCTATAGGGTACAAGACATCAGTTGACGATATGACATCACTGGTATTTGACTTAATCTCAGGCGCAACAGGTCATGTTCCATCTTTGCCTTTCGCACCTCTATACTGCAAGTGTTCGCGCGCTACATAAAGGCTCTGCCGAATCACCTGAGCATGTGGTGTAACTGGTCATGAGTTTACGCGGGCTTACTCGGGCTGACTGAAGGACATCAAGCATCACCTGACCATATGACGTCACTCATATTGGGGCTGTGGCCCAGACTTATGGCCGCTAGGCGGCGCCTTTGATTATTATTTAGCCATCAGGGCATTCCTGACCGTAGCTGCTCAGGGGCGCATCCTGTGATGTCGGGCGGAATAGCTTTGCATATACGTCGGTTTGTGGGCTGGGATCACCTTTGTTTTGTGTTTACGTTTGTTCAAAATTCTAGTCGTTAAAACAGCCCGTTGCGTTTGAAGTTGTTACTTAATGGTGCGCACAATAAAATTAGTGTGCTTAACTATGGTGCATCTCCCACCTCTGCTGCGGAACTCCGTAGCCGTAGGTGGCCAGGTGACCTCCTACCAACTGATGATCAGTGACGTCACATACTCAGGTGATTCGGCGGAGCCTTCATATAGCACGCGAATATTTGCAGCAGCCAGGTACGAAAGGCAAATATGGAGCATGACCTGTTGCGCCTGATGTTTAGTCGAGCACCAGTAACGTCATGTCGTCAGCTGATGCATTATAACCTAAAATGGGTTCAAAGGAGCCCGTAAAAAACTCGTGACCAGTGACGTCACACACTCAGGAGATTCGACGGAGCCTTCATTCAGCACGTCAATACCTTTAATAAACAAGTACAAAAGGTAAAGAAAGTACGTGGCATGTTGGACCTGATGTTAAGTCGAATAACCGTGACGACATATCATCCTGTGATGCTTCACGGGAGGTGTTGCTTTGTGGCCTTGGGCGGCCCAAGTGAATCCGTATGAACTCATGACCAGCGACGTCACCCACTCAGATGATTCGTCTGGAGTTTAGTCGATTACCAGTGACGTCATATCGTCAGCTGATGCTTGATGTCCGTCAGTCAGCCCGAATAAACCTGCACAAACTCATGGCCAGTTACACCACGCGCTCAGGCGAATCGACAGAGCCTTTTTGTAGCGCACGAATACTTGCAGTAGGCAGGTGCGAAAGGTAAAGATGAAACATGGCTTATTGCAACTGATGTTAATTCGAATACAAGTGACGCCATAACGTTATCTGATGCCTAATGACCTGAACTCGGCCAAAAAAGGCCCGTAAAATCTCATGACCAGTGACGTCACACACTCAGTGGATTACCAGTGACGTCATTTCGCTAGCTGATGCCTCATGGCTTTCGCTCAGCCAAAAATAGTTGGTAAAAATTCATGACCAGTGACGTCGCACACTCAGGTGACTCGGCAGAGCCATCATTTAACGCACCAATACTTTACAGGTACGAAAGGCAAAGATGGAACATGACCTGTTACGCCTCATGTTAAGTCGAACACCATTGACATCATGTCGTCAACTGATGCATTTTTCCCTATAGAGGGTTCCAAGGAGCCAGAAAAAACTCATGACCAGTAACGTTACACACCCAGGAGACTCGACAGAGCCTTCATTCAGCACGTCAATACTTGTAATAGACGGGTACGAAAGGTAAAGATAGAACATGGCCTGTCGCGCCTGATGTTAAGTCGGACACCAGTGACGTCATATCATCAGCTGATGCATTATACCGTTTGAGGGTGCAAAAGGTCCCGTAAAAAGCCCTTGACCAGTGACGTTACTTACTCAGGAGACTCGACAGAGCCTTCATTCAGCACGCCCATACTTCCAAGAGACAGGTACGAAAGGTAAAGATGGAACATGGCCTGTCGCGCCTGAAGTTTAGTCGAATACAGTGACGTCATATCGTCAGCTGATGCTTGATGTCCTTCAATCAGCCAGAGTAAACCCGCGTTAACTCCTAACTAGTTACACCACACGCTCAGGTAATTCGGCAGAGCCCCTGTGTCGCGCGAATACTTCCAGTAGATATGTGCGAAAGGTACAGACGAAACATGGCTTAGATGTAGCATGGCCTGTTGCGCATGATGTCTAGTCGAAACCCAGTGACATCATATCGTCAGCTGATGCCTTGTGGCCTACAGTAGGCTCAAAAGAGTGTGCAAATTAATGGTCAGTGACGTACACACTCAGGTAATTTGGCAGAGCCTTCCACGGCAATGCTTGCAATGGACAGGTACCAAAGATAAAGGTGGAACATGGTCTGTCGCGCCCGAAGTTCATTCGAATACCAGTGACGTCACATCTTCAGTCATTGCCGTATGACCTTTCGTCGGCCCAAAAGAGGCCGTAAAACCTCATGACCAGCGACACGCACAGTCGAGTGCCAGCGACGTCACATCTTTAGCTGATGCTTTATGGTCTTCAGTTGGCCGCACAAAAAATCCGCCAATACTTGCAGCAGACATGCACGAAAGGTATAAATGGAGCATGACCTGTTGCCTGATGTTCAGCCAAATACCAGTGACGTCATATCGCCAGCTGATGCCTAAC